AATCATTTGCTTTAAATATATTTTGGCACTTAGAGGCCACCCAGGCAGTCATTCACCACTGGTCAAATTTGAGCCCACAAAACTCACTTATGCCAATGCAAGAGTGAAACATATACAGTCATTGAATGGTTTGGGTTGGAATTGATCCTCAAGATCATCTAGCTCCACCCCCTGCCATGGGCAGGAACACAGTCCAGTAGACCAGGTTACTCAGAGCCCCATCTGACCTGGCCTTTACATTTCCTGGGATGGGGTAGACATAACATCTCTGAGCATCACTGTGCCAGTGACTCACCATCCTCACAGTAAAGAATTTCTTCCTAACATCTAATCTAAACCTACTCTCTTTCAGTTTAAAGCTGTTGTCCCTTGGCTTATCACTCCATGTCCTCGTAAAAAGTCCCTCTTCAGCTCTCTTCAGGCCCCCTTTAGGTGCTGGAAGGCTGCTATAGGTTCTCTCCAGAGCCCTCTCTTCTCCAGTTTTGAACAGCCGAAACTCTCTCAACCTGTCTCCATAGAAGAGGTGCTCCAGCCTCTGATCAGCTTCACGGCCATCCTCTGGATTTGCTCCACCCCGTTCACGTCCTTCTTATGTTGTGGGCCCTAGACCTGGATGCAATAGTCCTTCTGGATGACATCCCTTCCCTCCAGTGTGTCAACTGCACCACTCAGCTTGCTGTCATCATCAGACTTTCTGAGGGTGCACTCAATCCCACTGTCCACGTCACTGACAAAGATGTAAACAGCACCACTCACAACACCAACCCTTGAGGAACACCACTTGTCACCACTGGTCTCCAAACTCAAGAGCTGATTAAACTCACTGGTGCTCACGTCTGGACAGTACAGCTGCTGCATGGACCTGTGCAGAGAAAAGTAGTGGGTGTTGATTATCAGGCTGGCTTGGCAATTCTGCTGGTTAACACAGTGGTCACCCTGAGGGTTTCCTATAGCTCCAGCAGTGCACTCGACAGTACCATAAGGGATGGTGAATGCACCACTGCCTTCCTCAAAGATCCTAGAAAGTAAAGTTGGCTGAGATAGCTGGAGAAGAATTTCCATATACTCATTGCTGAACATGCCTTAAAACTCATTTTCCCTGGAGCTCTGTTTCTACAAACATTCGCTCAGCACAGTGAGGTTCTTCAACCTGCCCCTCCGCAAAGATGCAAAGTCAAAAAGGTTGCCTCCTTACACTGTCCCTTACACTAGAAAAGCCATTCAAGCCATTTTTGTGCCATAAGGCAATTTTTAAAAGAAAAGTAAAACCCTAAGAAACAATCTTTTCTCTCTATGAACACTGATGGTAAGTGGTCAGGTTTAATTTGTTTTCCAAAATCATCTCTGCTGGACAAGCACAACTTAAAAATGTGTTCTCATATTACCAACTTCCCAGAACATGTTCATGATTTCTGTACTATTCAAACAAGCAAAAAGTCTCAAGTCTTCAAGAGTCTTTGTTGAAAATTTGTTTTAAAGCCAGAATTTCATGTGCTGTATAAACCAAGCCTCTAGTTACATAATTGAGATCAGTGGGGAAGCAGGACTTCATCACACAGATCTGAGGACATCTTCCTTCTCTCCTTGAGCATTATGCTCTTTGCAGTGCTTCAAAGTAGTGGGCTGATTTTGACAGTTTTTCTCCTTTACAAGTCCTTGAGGAATCAAGTGCTGTTCTTTGTTGATTCACCTACAAGTGACCAGAGTGGCCTCTGACTGACTACACTTTAAAAAACAAATCTGTAGATTTGTGATTCCTTTGGAGCTTGTCCTTGACAAGCTAGCTTTATATTACTTAGCAAAGGCAAGCATTTAACAGGCATCATCCCTCAGTCTATCAATAAAGCCTTACACTCCATGTGCATGATAAATCCTCCTTAACTTCTTCCTTAATTTTTACTTGTAATGATTAATGATAAAACAAATTAAGCCAGAGCTACTTCACATGATGTGCATATGACATAACAGGAGGCAATAATTTAACGCACAAAGATCCACTCATCACAAGAGCAGTGACTCACTGACTTCCCAAAACATAATGAAATCTATCTAACAGATTGTAATGAAACAAAACTACAGCAGATTATAAACTGGTGCAGATTATACATATTGGTTTTGATGCTTTTTCCTTATATTTCTTCACAACATCAAGGCAAAACTAGAGAGAAAAGTACCTGTTTTCTGGTAAGAAAGTGAACTATCCCACGCCAGGGCTCACAAGCCCAGATGGATGTTGGCAGACTCAGGAAAAGCATTTTATTCTAAGGTCCTCTTTACAAAAAATAGTACATTTATCTCAAAGTTTTAATATTTTTACTCTGCAGTTTGGAACACTGAGGCATAAAAATAATGACTTGTCCAAAGTTCCTGAGCAAGTCTGTAGTAAAAGTGGACCTTTTGACTTCCAGTTCTCTGATTCAGCCAGGAGACCTTCCTTTGCCATGTAAGCAGAGTGGTGTTTACAGACCAAATTCTACCATAACTTACACTTAAAGAACACATGTATTTTACAACAGAATTTTACGTGGTCCTTTATTTTAATTTTAGATAACAGTATTAGAAACAGCTATTGCCCAGGGGTTGTGCAGCTCCATCACCAGATGCCATCAGGCTGGACGGTTTCTCCAGTGACTGGGTAATAGTTAGCTGCATTTTTTTGCTTCCCTCCAGAGCCAGGCATTCAATTAACTCACCAGTTACCACTAGTCAACCACCAACTTTGCTCTTTTTTTTACGCTTTCATGAAAAACAAAAAAATCAAAGGACTTTGGAAAAACATAGTCAGAAGAAGCCCCATCTAGGATAGCACTTAAAATTGATTTCCAATGAAATTACAGCTGAATATGACAGGGAGAGTAGTAAGGAATGATGTCTCTGTAACTGACTTATGTCTCTGCTGTTCTTTGAAATCAAGAGCATTGATTTTTTTACTTTTACTTGGGTTTGCTTCCAGTGTCGTGGGATTCCCTGTGGCCCAGAAGGATACACTGCTTGACACGCAGGCAAATTGCTGAAAGGTCAGTGTGTTCAGTGCACATTGGTAGCATCTGTGCTGCTGTTGCCAAGATCCAAGCAAATTCAAAGAAGAAAATTATATTTGAAGAGCATTTGACGAACTTGAAATTTTTCAGCCTCCTGAAAAATACCCATCATTGCCAACTTTTAATTATACGTTTGTGCAGAGGCAGTCCACACGAGTTAAAACAGGCTTGCATCTGAGTTTTTCCACACTTGGTTTTGCAAACTCTTAATTCTAAGTACAAGCCAAGAACAGGCTTCCCCTAACCTAGTGACACCATCCAGATCCATGTGTGCAAACATCACAGTAACACAAACTGGCGCTGACACCCAACATAGCCTGGCCAGCTCCGTGTAACCAATTTGTCAGCAAGACTTAATGGCACTAGCAAAGGCAAATCCCAGCTTGTATCACAGCACTAAAACTGATCTTTTTTCCCAGCCTTGCAATTAAGCACCAGAGCAAAAGCTGGCTCAGAAACCAAGTTTGGCATGATTTCTTAAGTCAATCTGAAACAAATCATCACCTCAGCATTGATTCAACATATATCACAATATAACCTCCATCCTTTCACAGTGGGATTTCCTTGCCTGCCCCCAGCTTGCCAGCCAAAACACAGGCCTGCAGTCCTGTTTACCCTTGCAGACACTCTCCTTTGCCCTGGAGCTTTGTGAATTCAAGCCCCAACTCGAGCTCCAGCCATTGCACCCCAGTTCTTTTCCCCAAATATAGTTTTGCCCCATATCTTTTCTAGGCCATGTAGAAATTACAAGTAGGATTATGGTGGAGTTCAGATAACTTTTTAGATTTGCATAAATCAGTTTTACTGAGTCTAACTCCTAACATTCATCCCAGCCAAAGCTAATCACAACCTAAAAACTGCTTTAGGATCCCAACAAAAACACAGCTCAGTGCTTTATGCCTGAACTCTGAAAAGTTTCTCCGGTAACTTGCTACGAACTCAAGCTTTGCTTTTTTTCTTTTATCACTGGAGGTCAAACCCTTTGCCTACCATGTTACCCACCCTGCCGGCTCAGAGCTCATCTCCCAGTGACAGTGGCTCACACCAACTCTCAGTTTAGTTTTACAGGCCCTGTTAGTTATTATATGACTATATAAATTTACATAAACAAACTCTAATCCCATGTAAAATCTGTTTACTGTTAGAAGGACACAAAAACCCCTAATTTGGAAGCAAATATACAGCTACATATACATACGGAAATATACAGCCTTACATATCTGCCTATCTTGCAGAAAACTGTGTCTATTATTAAGGCAGAAGTAGTGCCAAGAGAACTTCAAACACGTTAAAATGCTCAGAGCTTGACAAGAATCAGAGTTTTTCTTTGAATTTCTATGAAAATCAACTTATTTTTCTTGCAGTAGGGATACAGTAATGTTTTAGAGATGAGACAATGTCTGCTGTGCACATGTACTGTCTCATATTACTCTGGATGCCACATTTCCACTTACATTATAGCATCAGAACACATTATTGACTAACTTAAAAGTAATAATCAGAAAGGTTTTATGCGGCAAGAGTATTATGATTTGATAACAAATTGCCATTTGTTTTATTTTCTCTCTCTATCTAACAAGACTAAATTATATCTAAGAGCAATAGGTAATAGCTGCAAATGTAATCCGTCAGCAACAGTGGCAAGCCACATAATCAAATGAGGGAAAGAGGTGATGCAGCCTCTGCCTGTCTTTGGAAATGAGAATCTGCATGTGTGCACTTAATACACATGGAGCCAAACTGCATAGAAAAGGTTTAGCATAGTCATCTCTGGATTTAAACTCGCAGGTCACACTCACTGTAACACCTCATCAGGCTACCAGAAGCTAGCCTGGCAGACAAGCCCCTCTTCACCTGCAGCACAAACTCCCTCCTGCACACAAGCACAGGGTGACATTGAGGAAGAGGCAGACACTAAGGGTTACACATGGGTGAACTCCAGGACAATTTTCACTGAACATGGGAGTTAGGGACATTTCTGCTGGGAGCCCATCCTGGAAGGGACATCCTGCCGTGCATCTTCAGTGAGCTCCTCACAGAAAAATGTGAGCTGGTCAGAGGCAAAGAGCAGAGAGCCTAAAACACAAAGGTAAGTGACACCTGCAATTTTACCAGAAGCTCTCAGAGCAGTGTGCAAGGCAAGAGCCAGGCATGTGAACCCATCAGTCTGCAGTGCTCACAAAGCTGGCGACTCATCTGCTGCAGGAATGTCACGGGGAACTGAAGGCAAATCATCCTCGGCTCTGCCAAGGGTGTCCTGCTGTCTGTCAGAGGCCAGCAACTGGAGGCAGTTCCAGTGAAATCTCTTGCTTAGTGAGGATGTAAAAGATATTCTCAGCACTGCCAAGAGTGAGAGCCTCACAGAGAGAGCAGCAGCTGAAGGGACGAAACTTTGGAGTCACTGGTGATGGGAAGTGACTGCATTCTGCTACATTCACCTCTCCCTAGGTAAGTCTTGGCTTTCAGATAAAGCATAAAACATAAAATAGATATTTACTTTTTTTTAAATCCAGATTACTGGTTCGGGTAGAGAAAATCACCATTAACTCATAACTCCCCGCAGCTTGTGTGGGAAGTAAGTTTTGTGCCTGTTCTGCTGCCTTGGAGCCAAGAGCTGCTTGCCTCAGAGTTGGATTGTGTGATAAGCAGTGCCTCAAAGGCACAGCTAAGGCTATTGTCTTCTGGTTTGCAGCCTATAACCTTTCATACAACTGCATAGTAAAGACTACAGTGGGTTCATTTCCTTTAGGGAAATGTTTTTTCACCTGATAAACTGCAAAGGTAGTCTCTGACTGTGGGGTAATTAAGCTGTGCAAGGCAAGTGTTGCTAAAACTGCTGGACTTTCCTTTTTCCATAAATATTAAAACACTTTAAGAAGATTTCTACCTGCACCAAACAACTCTGCAGTTCAGATTTACTTCCACAGCCTAATTTTGCCCAAAGGTGATTATACAAGACATATATGTTCTCAGGAAGTCATTTTGTTATGTGCCATCTGTTTTATTTAAACAATAATTGTCATGCAAAATTGACCTCTAATCTGGACTTTCGACAAAACACCTTAGCTTCTTTGACAATGAGCAGAAAATGGACAAGAATGAGGGAACAGCTGCATATGCTGATAATGAAAAAATTGACTCTGTCAATGAGCCCACAGCCCACCACTTGTGTAAAAACAGAGAAAAGCAAACGAAGTTAGCAGGCCTCCCACTGAAAGATGCTAGCTGCAAATAGACTGTCTAGGAGGAGCATTTTGTCAAGAGAACTACAGCTTTCACAGTGAAATACAAAGCAGACTAGTACCACGATTTGCTGCAAATATAATGATTTAGCAGCAGGTGCAGATCACGTAATGAAATGATGGAAAGAGGGAATGTACCACACTGCACAGAAAAGGATCAAATTAGCATGATCATTTAACAGTGCAAAAGAAGACAGCATTCCTGCATTTCTGTACCTTTTCTGCCAGTATACTTTTGGTAGTAATGGAGGATAATTATGCTTTTTTAATTATTTTAAAATATTCAATTTAAAACAAGCATTGATTAAGTTATGCTGAACTGTGTACATCACTGATTTGGAATTATTATCAACTGACAAGAGGATACCTTGTCTAGGGTCCAGAAGAAGAGAGAATTGTTTGGTCATCACATAAAACATGGCTGTAAAAAAATTATGTAGTAAACTGCCCACAGTATTGTAGATGAAATCTTGCCCATCTTAAAGCTACTTTAAGTATGACAGTGTTGGAGAGTGGCAGGATCAATAAAACATTGATTTTAAATCTTTTCTTTTGCCAGCCTTGGCAGAGAAGAACTGTCCTTCCACTGGAATGGTTTTGTGGATTACAATTAAGGAAACCTTCAAAATTCAACAGCTGATCATGGAAGAAGCCATGGAGGGGTGAGTATAAACTATCCACCCAGGGAAAAAAATATTCTGCAAGTAGTTTTGCCTGTGTTGTGAATTTTTGATGGTTTGAATATGCTGTGAGTCCAGTGATGTTTTCTTTCAGAAGACAATAAAATTTCAAGGGCTGTGAAGGGGAAATCACATGGCCACTATGATGATTCGGATCTGATCTATTATTTGAACACTGTTTCCTCTGGGAATGTAAAATTCTATTAAATGAGATGGACACAGAAGATGTCCACAAAGAGAAATGCTTGTATCCCCAGCATGTATAAATGCCCAGGATGGGTGAAATTTTGTACCAATCTCAAGACTGGTTGCAAGATTAGCAAGACTAGGGTTTGAACTTTTACAGTTTCTATACCAAAAAATGTAGAACACTAGAAGAAGCATGAATATAATATTATAAGAACACCATCAGCCAGGAAGATCTGAGTGACCACGCTCTTGTATTCAAAAATGCTATGTCCAACTCAGCATTTCCACCGCTTTCCTTGAGCCTCAGGGAAACCTGGCCTGGACCTTAGGTATAAGTATGAAAAATGTATTTACACAGACTACAGAGTATTTTACATGGTGTGAGCTTATTGGTTCTTGTAATCCCAAAAATAATTTAATGAATTCTTTTTCTTTAAGAATACTTGTGTACAGTACGCTATTTACAAACATTATGCCAAAATAACCAACCCCTTAGAATGAAGGAAAACCCAGCTGTTCTGAAGTCTAAGAAATATCCTAGCAATAGTCTTAGTTTTCTTTCCAACTTCAATTTTTATTTTAACATCAATTATACTCATTATCAAGCCACTGACTTACTTTTTTTCCAGAACAAAACCAGACACACGTTCCCAATCCTACAGTCACTGTGGAACACTTTTCAATTAGCAGAAAGGACTTTGGAAGAGTTTCTTAGGTCTGCACTACATCCTCTTTCACTAGAGTATTGGTAAGAGACATTCACACAATAACCAAAGTGATGCCCAACTCTTTCTCCATTGCTGAACAGGAATGGTACTTCCACAGAACAGAAAAACCCTCAGTTATTTCTGTAAATAGTTGTATGGGCTATTTGTCAGAATCTAGCCCCAAACAGTTGCAGTTACTTATCTGAAGCTCTATAATGCTCAGATTAAGCTTCTGACACAAGGAGGCATAATCTCCACAGATGGTGGAGAAGGAATAGCCCTTACACCTAACTTTGTTGGAAAAAATAGGACTGTTGTGCGAGAAACCAAAACTGATGACCAAGATACTTAATTTTCATCCTGCTGAATCCTGTCAACTCAATCCTCATCACACTTGTTTGCCTTCACGTGCAAATAGTTTGTTTTTAACAACTGATGAGTGCCCAAGTATACAAACTGATACTTAGCAGCAGTTGCACTGCAACACTATTGAATATTTACACCCGATTTGCAATCATCTGGCAACTGAAATGCAATTAACAACTTTGGTTTTATGTCCCCACCAGAGTTGGCTTGCACATCCATCACAAATGCATTAATTTACTCTAAATTTGCTCTCTGGATTTAACTCATTTAAATGAAGAAATCATATTCTTTCTCAGCTCCTGTTAGCCATGATCTCTTCTGCCTATCAACCTAGAGGGTCTTGTGATAACCTTTTTGTTAGTTATTGATAGTCTAAAATCACACTGGACTTTGTCATGACATTATAGCCAATTCTGTTTATTTTGAGCCTGTATCAGTGTAATACCAGAAGAGAGGAAAGAGATTCCAGATAGTGGTGAAGTAGCTATTAAAAACTCTCTGGAAAGTTTAAAGTTAGTACGTGATCCTGACTGTCAGCAATTACTTGAAGTCACAAAGACCTAAGAAGTGGTATCCTGAAAAAAATCATAAACAGCATTGCTTTTTGCTTGTTGGAGACTAGTATAGTATTGGAATGCTGGATAATACACAGTGTAGGTATTTTCATAACCTGCCTACCACATAGACAAAAATCTTTATTTTACAGTTGGGAGTTTAACGAGCCAAATCCAGAGTAGATCATAATTATTATTCACTTCTAGAAGCAACGCCTCTTTGCTGCACAAAGGGATCTGCAGGCTCATGCTGAGAACGCAAACAGACTGACTGAGCAGATGACAGCTACAGGGAGCACATCCCCCAACTAGTAACGGTGAAATGATTGCCTTGAAACCAGCAACCAAGAAGCTAACATTAGAGTGGTGATGTGCACAAAGGCTCCTTAGCTCAGGAGTGGTACCATTCTAGCAAGGCTTTCTATCTCTGAGAGCTAAGTCAGAAGCTCTGCCTGGCAGGACTGAAATCTCTAGACTGTTCAGGCAGCTGTTACAGCACACATGAACACAGGCCCTCCTTTCATCTGTCATAGAAATACTCTGAAAATACTTACTGGCCCTCTCCTTGTGGGGAATGTGCAACAACAAAGTGGTTAGCAGTAGCCGAATAAAGGCACCGGAGATCTCAGCAGTTCCAGCTGTGGTAGCAATGGATTCATAGAGACACAGTCAGCTCAGGCAGACAACGGATTTGTCTACACTGACCAACACCAGCTTGAGTACCAAGAAAAGCAAGATAACTGCACACAGTTAGCTTTCTCTCTACCAAATGGGCCCATCAGAAAGCCACACATCTTTAACTCCTATGGTTATTTTCATTATTTGTAAGCAGTCAAATTCATTTTTACCATGGTGGTAAATTCATAATTGTTAGTGCCTGGAAACTTTGACTTATACAGATTATTATTGGAAAGTTCTCCAAGCTTAATTTATGCTTACATACTGTTTAATTCTATGAGCCACGTTGTACACAAGTTACTCTATAGGCTATGATATTTTACAGTGGTTTCATAAATTAGCCTTCTAAAGTGATTAAGCTGTTCTCTGGACTCCAAAAATAAACTCTTCAAGCAAAATGACATATTTTTCATCAAACAATAAACAAGAACAGTGCAAGCACTTCATTTTTCCAGAGCTGCAAATACTTTCAACAACTGCTTGTCATCAATTCATGACCTATATATATATATATCACGCAAAGAGAAACCAATTATCCACAAATCAAGTGCAGCAAAGAGAAAGACACGTGCTCCTGCTGATGTTTCAATTATCTTGAATCACCTACGTCCTTGAAATGCACAGCTACATATCCCACCAAGTACCTGATGTGGATTGCTTGAATATGTGTGCCCTACTGGACCTGTGAGGCACCTGCCTACAGTTCTGTAGAATGCATAAGAAACACTAAATACATCCTGTTTGTTCTGCCAGTTGGAGTTACTGTGGTTACCCTTTCCCAGCAATGCTCAACACGTTCACAACAGCCATTCCCACCTTTGGAGCAGGAAGGGTTGCTGGTGGAAGGCTGGGCAAATGGATACTCTGCTCTCTTCTTTCTGTTTTTCAAATACATTTCTTACATCAGTCTGTTCTGAAAAGTACATGCACAATTTTCCACAAGAAAGAATTATCCTATTTAACTCTGCAAAAATTAATATTTTGGCAGTATATTGCAATTTCATTTATTCTAGTAGATGATACCACTTTCTCTCTCCCAGGCAATCTGTCAGTATCTGTTAAGATTTCTCCTGGAACATCTCATTAACACAGGGTTGGGAACAATGAATGTACGCAGTGAAATCAACCTCTGTTGTAGACAAAACTTTTATAATGCATAAATATCTCAGCCCTGTGAAAAGGAAGAAGCAGTTTTAATGAGCTCTTAAAAACTATCAGAAGAAAAAAGGAGGTATGTATGGAAAAAACCAATATGTTCTGCATAGGGTAAACAGTGGTTGCTCTTTTAGGAGGTGAAATGCAGGGGAGATGGAAGACATTTTTCCTACTACTGCTGCATACACTACCACGATGTGACAGGAGAAGCTAAACCAGAATATTTTTGGTTCCCTTTAGGATCTAGCCATGACTGAAATTGTCCCACTTTTGGTCAAGAAAAACTTCAGTGTAATATGCAGAGAATGTACTGTAGCTGGAGGAAAAAAATAACCCAACCCACATCATTTGGTTGACTGCATGAAAGAGATGTGGTGTTCACAGGAGGGTAGAGCAACATCACAGTACCTTGTTCTACCCCATCCTAAGGTGAAGCAGTTCTAGTTCAGTGCTGGAGCACAAAATTAGTACTTATTTCATTGGCAGTAACTGAAAATATGCTTCTTTCTTGGCTTCTGATCATGAATAGCTCCAGCAGTTCCTGTGCCCTCTCCCTGTAAAACTACCTCTGTTTATGCCTAGCGCAAAGATTCTTCTGCAAAGCCCGGAGCCTGACCCCATCGGTCCTATCTGTGATGCAGTACCTTCTGCAGCTCATCCCATTTCACTCCTAGATAAATGATATCCCATGTCTGGGGCCTTAAAACCTTGCCATCTAAAACTGCCATCTATTACAGTGTAGGAGACAATCCTCCATAAGACTAAATAACATAAAATGGTTTTGAGCTTAAAAGTATTACATAGAATCACAGTAAGCCTGTGATTGTGCCAAATCTCCTCCCTTCTAATATATGGTGGGAGTAAATTATATTTTCAACAAAGGTAAAACTGAAAGATGATTAACATCCAGACAATATGCTGGTACCAATTACTTTTTTCTCTTGATATCTGGAAGTAATACCAACCCTATTCAAGGTCTCTCTGTGAGGAGGAGAGCTGTAAAATGACAATTCTAATGGAGAGTAGGTAACAATTTTGGTCTTTTCTGCTATCAAAGAGAAAGTTACATAATTTCCTCCATAATAGAAAGGTCTGCCATCGAGAAATATCATCTCTTTTGAAAAATACTATGTGGAGGAAAGAGAGCCCTAATGGGACTTCCATTACATCTCTGCCATTATACAATAATTTTTAAAATTACTCACCCATTGTATCTTGCTTTTTAATCTAGTCTTAAAAACAAAACTGAAGCAGATACTTAATATATTTCATTTTCTAAGCTGTTCCCATTGAAAAATTGTTCTGGGGAAACTTCTACTTGCTAATGGGGAGCTGCCACGGTTGCTAGGTCAGCTGTCATTAGGCATAGCTGCATTGCTGGCACATCTAACCTAGCTCCTTCTGCAGGGAGCTGCATCCAGTGGCACAGACAAGACGTCTGTGAGTCTGACCAAGCACTGTGTCCTGCTCAGAACAGCTGAAGTTGCTGTTAGGTTTATTTTCTGGGACTGAACACTGTGCAACACACACGGCTGTATCCGAGCTGATGAAGTTGCCTGTATTGTGCTAAGGGATTCAGACCCCTGCACGGACAGTTTTAGCTGTGAATCTCTGCATTGCAGCTCACTAAACAGGGACATGGCTTCCAGTCCTTGCAAACCAATGCCAGATGATTTATGAATCCCTTCAACTCTTTTACGGGGCAAATTTTGCCTTACTGTCTTGCTTGGGGTTCTTTCCCTCTCTTCCAGAGGAGATAATTCCTCTTGATCTTTAGGCTGACTTTTACACAAGACTATAGGTTTAATTCTGGGGGAAAAGGGGGGGGTGTGAAGTCTTGTGGAATAACTAAAGAAAAACTCATCCACAAAGAGGGTATAGGAAGAAAGAGTATAGGAAGAGCATTACATGGAGTGGGTCTGTGATCATTAATGATATCAGCTCTGATATCACTATCACAGGCAAGATGCTCCCAGCAGCACAGACATCGGTATGTGCCTGACCAGGTTACAAGAACTCCTTTGCACCTCTCAGCTACTCAAATAAACAAGGCAAGAAAAACATGAGCCCTGAAAACCAAGAGGAGCCTTCATCTTTTACTAGACCCAGTATCTCCAGATGCCAGAAGTCTACCAGTAACTTACAGAGAAGAGGACAAAACTGGACCCAGTAGTCCCAGAGCCTATTCCACAACATCACCTGCAAGCAGAGATTGGAAACACAGAAACATGCACAGCTCCTCCAGCACAGCTGCTCTATTACAGCTAGGCTATCCAGACTTGCTTCTTTCTTCTTTCCAGATGAACACCTTGTGATCTTGAGGGTCCAGATACTTGCTTAACTAGAAATCAGATGCACACGTGCAAAATGCCTGAGCCACCAAAGGTACTGTGCACTCCCTGACTGCCCACTGAACTCCCAAGCTTTCTGATCATGCAGGGAGCCCTGACGCCAGGGGACTTCCCAACCATCCTCCCCAATCCCGGAATATCACTCAAAAGGTATCTGGAGGATGAGAGATTTGAAAACTTTCGACAAAGAAAACGTTGACTGTCTGAGAGGGAAAAGAACGTGTTTACTACGTTTGATCCTTTTCGATGTAACTCACCCCCTGTGCATTTCAGATGCACAAACCGAACAGCAGGGAATCAGCCTGTACGTTTCAGAGTAGAGCTGGCCTTTTCTGTAGGTAAAATTTGTAGACATCCCCACACCAATTTTACAAACAAAAATCATTACTAAATACTTTCCAGTAGATGGCAGGGTTACATTGTGTCGAAGCTGAAAGTCTGAATTGAAAGGGCTCCTGCATAAAGGTTCAAGTACTGTTTAAGCACATTTAATTAGCAGGATGAACTGAAATATCTGAAAAGGCAAAATACACTTTGGATTAACTCATCTAATGTGATCCCAGAAATGTAGATTTTAAGGTAGTGAAATCATAAAGCTCAACATAGTATTAAAAATGAACTTTGTTAAAAATGAGCTTTACTGAGAGAACAGTTTATACCACAGAACTGACACAACAGAAAACACAGTATTTAATGTGAGAATCCACTGGAATTGCAAGCTGTAGAATACAGTCATGGGAAAAGCAAAAAGTCTCTTGAAAATATTACCACAAATGACCAAAAAAGATGGCTTTAAGGACCAAAATCAATTCAGCTGGACAGTGCAGTGTTTGCCTCTTTCCAGGGACTGAGCAAAAATAAGCACCCCAAACAGGGAAGTCTGTACCGCTTCTGTCAATTCGAGAAATCATTACCTCAGCAGGTGGAGAACAGCTTCTCAGATT